GGCACCCGGTCACAGGGGTCACAGGGCGGCCGGGCCCCCTGGAGTGATGGGCCCGGTCGCAGCTGCGACCCCGGTATGTACATCGCTGAGAGAGGGTGTTATTGTCTAGTGATTTACTGTTAATTGACCTTGGCTTGTCTGACTATTCTTAATCTCTGTAATCCTGACTTTGGCTTGTTTCTCACTTCTGTGTACCTCTGATACTATTGACCTCAGCCTGTTTTTGGTGTACTCTTTGTCTACTTAAAGACATTTTGTTTCTTTTCAAATAATTTTTATTGAAATTTTTTTTTGCAGAATTTACAAATAATAAAGAACAATGTATTAGGGAAGGGAAAGGAAGGGTAAAAACTGGGAGATGGGGGAGGAAAAGGGGGGGTATCCATCCATTATAACAGTAAATTTGTTAAAGTACAAGGCACTTGAGTTGAATAACAAAACATTACAAGTTATTACAGGTTATGTGTTTTTTTGACATCGGTTTCCCATTAATCCCAGTGGTGTTTTAATTGTGCAAAAATGTGTGTGTTATTTCTATGTGATAGTTTGTATGCTTTGTTTTCTAATGTTAGTGTCAGTACTTCCTTGATAGAGGGTGTATGTTTAGACTTCCAATATCTAGGTAGACATGTGGTGGCAGCTATCAGTATATGGCCTGCTATAATCCTATTGATTCTACTGATGGATTCAGGGAATTTTTTAAATAGAGCTAGTTCATATGTGAAATTGTCTATATTCCTGTTCACTTTAACAATTAAGTCGTGTATCGATTTCCAGTATTTAGTCAGTCTTGGGCAATACCACCATATTTGGGCCATATTGCCCAATCCTCCGCAGTCTCTCCAACACTTATCACTGTACCTATTATTCATATTGTGCAGTCTGGACGGAGCTAGATACCATCCATATAGAATTTTAAAATGATTTTCGTGATGATTGGAGCAGAAAGATAAGCCTTTCAGTGCTGAAAAAAAATTAAACCAATCCTCCAACTTATATTGGGTACCCAACTCCGTCTCCCAAGAAAACATATGTTTCAGTTTGGTATTTGGTTTATCATTGTGTGAGATATAGCAGATAAATATAATGCCTTTCCTATTTGGGTCATTTAAAAATAGCTTTTCTAATGGAGATATAGTCAATGCTTCGTAATTTTTATCAAGTTCTGGAATTTTGTATATCTCTTTCAGTTTCTCAATCGCTAACTCACGTTCAACCTTGCATTCGATCAGCAGGCTATGCTTAAATTTGAGTTTTCCATAAGACAGAATAGAGTTACCATGGAAAAAATTGTCTATATGATGCAGTTGGTGTCCTTTAAGCAATGCTAAGTCTAAGGTTGGGATGTAAAATTTTAAAGAATCAATTGGCATGGCTCTATATAATTTTGTCAAGTGACAGTTGTTTTTGAATACTAAATCCCAGGCTTTGAGTGTGGTCCTAGTAGTCAAAAACATTTTCGATACGCCAGGTTTCCTTGAAGGGTTTAGCCAGGGTAGTTCCCCGATTTGATAGGGGAGAATGCTGGATTCCTCCATCTCCATCCATCTCGGCCTGTTTTTTTTGGTTATTAAAGCTTACAGCCACTGCAGCAATAGTAGAAAAATAGTATTTTCTACAATTTGGGACACCAATGCCCCCGTGGATTTTTTGGTGCTGCAGGGATGTAAGCTTAATTCTATTGAGTTTATTGTTCCAGATAAATGTAAGCATTATTGAGTGTACTTTGTTGAAAAAGGACATTGGAACAGATAAAGGGATGGTTCTGAAGTAATACAGGATTTTTGGTAGAATGACATTTTTATGGAGGCAATTCTTCCTAACCACGACAATTCCATGCCACCCCATCTCTCCATCTCACTTTGTAGGTCTGGCCATGCTCCCTTCAAGTTATGAGTATGCATATAGGTAAATGTTTGCATAAATTAATACCCAAATATTTCAGGTAATCCTTCCTCCAGTCGAACGGATATATTGCTTTCAATTCATCCTTATCAGACTTTTGAAAATGAAAAGGCAGGGCCTGGGTCTTAGATATATTTAATTTGTAATATGACACTTCTCCAAACTGGAGTAAAACTGTATTAAGAGATTCCAGAGATTCTTTTGGATTTTTAAGTGCTAATATGACATCATCTGCAAATAGCCCTATTTTGTGGGTGGATCCCTTAATTGAAATACCTGCTATTTCTGGGGTTATCCTGATCAATTCGGCCAGGGGTTCCATCACCAGAACAAAGAAAATCGGAGATAAGGGGCAACCTTGACGCGTCCCATTAGTTAGGGGAAAAGTTCTTGATTGGAAACCCGAGGCCGAAACGTGAGCTGTGGGTGCGCAGTATAGTGCCTTAATCGCAGTGATGAAAGATTGTGGGATATCGAATCTACTCAATGTCTTCCATAGGTAACCCCAATGTACCCTGTCGAACACCTTCTCTGCATCCAATGAAAGGAGCAGAGACTGAGTTTTTGTCGAATTAATATGCTGGATCAAGTTTATGAACCATCTGGTTCCGTCAGGTGCCTGTCTTCCCTGGACGAATCCAACCTGGTCATTCTTGATCAATAGGGGTATTAAACTAGTTAAACGGTTCGCTAATATCTTAGCATACAATTTTATGTCATTGTTTATATGGGATATGGGCATAAAATTAGAGCATTTATCAGGGGTTTTACCTGGTTTTGGCAAGGTGACAATCTGTGCGGACAAAGATTCTCCTGGCATCTTCCCCCCGGACTTATAGTAGTTAAATAATTTGGACATATGGGGAATTAAAATTTCTGCAAAGGTCTTATAATATAAAATGGTAAATCCATCAGGTCCAGGTGCCTTTCCTGGCGGCATACGTTTAATTGCCTCGGCTATCTCTGCTTCAGATATATCGCACTCTAGTTTTTCCAAGTTATTAGAGGACAGCCGAGGTAACGAAACCCTGTCTAAAAAATTATTAATAGACGCCTCAGATGGCTGGGTGAGGTTCAGGTCAGATTTCAAATTATAAAGTTCACTATAATATTTTGCAAATTGATCACTAATCTTATTCGGGTGGAATATTTTTTGTCCTTGGTCATCTATTAAGTGTGAAATTTTTTATTGGGCATTTACATGCCGGAGTTTGGACGCCAGGAGACTTGAGGCCTTATTACCTTTTAAATAAAACAATTTCCTGAGGCGTCTCACCATGAGAGTAGTTCTATCTATATTTATTTTATGTATTTTTTATTTAATCTCCCCTATCATTGCTGATAGGGAAGAAGATGGACCGAGTTTATTAGCCTGATTTAAGTTATACAGTTCTTTTTCCAAGTTTCTTAAATTGTTGTTATTATTCTTCTTCAAGTGAGACGCCCTAGAAATGAAATGACCCCTCATCACAGCCTTGTGCGCATTCCATGTCACCTCGCCAGGAACCTCGTGCGAAACATTGTCCAAAAAATAATCATTTAGTACCCCCTCAGCGAGCGATCTGTTTTCAGGATCGTCTAACAAATAATCACTCAATCTCCACTGTCTGTTGGGGGTGGAAGAAACCGTTTCATCTATATGCAAAGTTATGGGAGCATGGTCAGACCAATTAATATCTAAAATATCAGATCTTGAGATGTGTGATATGAGAGTGCCCTGTATCATGAACCTGTCTAGCCTGGAATACATGTTCTTGGATACGGAGTAGTATGTGAAATCTCTCTCATTCTCGTGTAGTAATCTCCATGGGTCATACAATCCGCATTCAACCATATACTTCGAACATTTCACAGCTAATGTGTCACTGTCTCTCGTACGGGGTGTGTCTAGATTTTCCCTTGCATTATCTAAGTCACCGTCCATAACGAAATTCATATCTCCACACATCACTAAAATCCCTTTCATGTTCTCATTCACCAATTCCATTATTTTCCTAAAAAAAGTTAGCTGACCTGTGTTGGGGAAGTACACATTGACAATTGTATATAAAACGTTGTTAACTTTACCGACCCACAGTATGTATCTCCCGTCATCATCCATCAGTATCTTATCTGTCGAGCTGGCCACCTTCCTACTAAAAAAAATAGAAGTACCTCTAGATTTAGACTTGTAGGTGCAGTGAAATTGGGATGGGAATAACCGTGTCATAAATTTGTACTCTTTTCCTTCCTTAAGATGAGATTCTTGAATACATACAATATCCGATTTGTTGGATTTAACTTCTTTAAACAATAATCGCCTCTTGTGAGTGGTGTTAAGGCCCCTCACATTAAATGACATGAGTTTAATGACCATGACTCAAATCAGAGTGCACGGTCATTAAAAGGAGAGTATATGGAAATGTGGGAGCCAGAAGGCCCTAGTCCCAAGAGGAGAGTTATGAGATCCAACAATCGTAACAACAAATATTTTTGTTTAAACAAGAGTGAATTTGCTAAAACAATTAAGGCAGAACCTGGTAACTTCTTAAATCGTTTACAGTGTATAAAAAAGTGGATGTAATAAAAAAAATAAATAAAAAAGAAGGGGTGATAAACTTGGGTAAATTCCCCTATACGGGGAGAAAAAATAACCTTAAATAAGAATAGGGCCATGAGGATGAATAAAAAAATATTTCTCCATCTTAGGATATTAGGCCCAGGTTGGGAGGAGGGAAGGCTGCCTGAGACCAGGGGACCGATGTATGTTTCTATCAAAACCAAAATACTACATTTATACTGAAAAATTATTGAATATATAAAAAATAGATAAAAAATAAATCAAGTCCTTCCAATCCTAGGTCTCTGCTGAAATAGATAATCGTTAAGGCAGGTGGTATTGAGAAAACTCAAAAGTGAGTTACCTACTGCCTTTACCTGACCCAGTGTTAGGATAAAAGTAATATAATTTTGCAGAAACGTTAGTTGGCGCGGGGTAGAGAAACAAAAAGAGAGAAATTAGAAAAATGAAAAATTTTTAACATCAGAGGAAGTACGTCCAGTATGTTGTGAAGAAAAAAAAAGCCTGGCAGTTTGTAAGCCAAGACCTTCCATGTTCAAGTGTCATTTGTCTTGCTCTTCTTATGAGCATGCTGTAGGGTTGATGGTGAAAGAGCGCAGGATTGAGTCTGCCTTCTGTTGATAGTTTTGATGAAATCCGACCCTTCTTCCGGAGTGGCAATAGTGAAATTCCGACCGTCCATACTAAAGAGAACTTTTGCAGGGAATCCCCATTTATAGCGTATCCCTCTTTGTCTCAGTTCGGTTGTAAGATGCTGGAATTCCCTGCGACGTCTCATTGTGTATGCTGAGAAGTCCTGAAAGATCTTAATGTTTTTGTATTCATCAGGAAGACCTGATGTGCGGATAGTACCCAGTAGTACTACTTTTATGTGGAAAAAGTGGAGTCTTGCTATGGTGTCCTTTGGTGCTGCTGCTGGTGCCTTGTTGGATTTAGGTAGCCTATGGATGCGGTCTACTAGTAAGTCCAGATTGATAGCCTCTGGTAGAATTGTTTTAACCATAGTTTGGAAATAGTTCAACAATTCAGAAGTATCTACAGTGTCAGGGATCCCCCTGATTCTGACGTTGTTGCGCCTGCTCCTGTCCTCAGTCAGCTATTCTCTCTGCCTGCTGGTTGACCTGCTTTTTAAGCTCCTTAACAGTTTTTTCCAATTCTACATGAGCGGATTCTTGTGTAGATATTCTGTGTTCAACGGCCTCCGTGCGTTGACCAATGTTCTCCAGAATCCCATACATGTTGTCAAAATCTTTTTTGAGATCATTTTTTAAGTCCACACGCAGGTCTTGTATTAATTGGATAATTAATCCCGCCGACGGTGGTAAATCCTCGGCCATTTCCAGCGGCATGTGAGGGTTATAGGTCATAGTCTTGAAAGCAGTAGAAATTGTCTTGGGAGGAGTAGTGGCCATCTTAGTTGTAACATTGGTAGTGTGTGCTGTATTGGTGGCCATTTTAAGTATGACTGGAGCTGGGGTCATGCTGTCATCCATTTTAGTGGTATCGGTTTTGGTGACCATATGATGAAAAATTTGGGGCACATTAAAACAATCTTCCTCCATATCTTGCACATTGAGGCTCTCTGCTGTCCCTTTAAGACTGACTGTGTGAGGGGAACGAGCAGCAGAGGTCCCTCCCGTCAAGTCTGACTGCCGTGAGGCAGAGGACCACAATGGGGATCGAGACCTCCCGCCGCCCGCCCCCTCATCCTCAGCCTGGTCTCCTTTATATGCTAGGGACCGGCTGCTTTACATGTAAGCCGTGAGCGGCTGCTGTCTCTGCTTGCAGGAGCAGAATGTACACGCTCCGAGCTGATCAAACGCTCGGAGCGGTTTTCAGACCCCCCAGGAGTCACTGTGTGTGTGGCCACGATCCCCCCGCTCTCAGATCTCTGCGAGCGGGTCCCGGCTGCACTAGCCTATGAACGGGTATGAGAGGAGGGTGGCTGTTTCTCTGCTGCCACCAATGAAGATTTTCCTGGTGAAATAAGCCTCAGGGTTACTGAGTGGGACGGGGAACGTGGGTGGGCTGGCATGCCCTTACTCACCCCCACTGAAGTTTTATCGGTCTTTTTTGCTGCAGGAACATTTTTCTCTGTACTTCTTTGTTTCTGCATGTTGAGCAGGACTTCATAGACAGATCAATGTGCTTTAAAAAGATGAATTTAGTTTGGAAAAAATTGTAATTAAATGAAATTGTCCCCAAGTCTCAGGAGCTTCCCTAGATGGTGGCCAAACTCCGCCCCACATTTTGTTTCTTAGGCAATAACTGTGCACCCTAAGGACCGGTCCGTGCTTCTGTCCTGTGTACCTTATGTTTGCCTGTTAAGGTAGGCTAGTTCTGACAGCACAAAACAGAAAAGTGCTGGTGCGCATAAATATGTATAGAACCCCTCAAGTGTTGAGAAGCATTTTCAAACAGATGATACAGTGCAAGCAAGTGTGATCCCTTATAGGGTGTCTACAAGCCCAGGTATATATGTGTGTATACTTATAGCCTGTTACATTGTACAGTTGATATCTGTAGTTAAGGAGACAAAAGTAGGGGGAAGGGAACAGAGAAAGCACTCCTAGTGCAATACAATTATTCAAATTTAAGCTAAGATAAAAGAATGCAACTCACAAATGTAGAGTGGTATGAGCCCCACTCTAAGCTATCTCGCCCAGGGAGGATCAGCCCCTTGGGTACGTGGGATCTGATAGATGCTCCTGCGACTCCAGTGTCAGGCAAAACACATTAAAAAAAACAACTGATAGTCAAATAGTAAAAAGTACAGTCAAGCTGCAGCTCACCACATCATGGGGAGTTTGATAACAGTTCAGTGTAATCTCTCTCCTTCTGGGGCCGGTGTTCTGTCAGATCACTATATCTTATCAGAATGCAATACGCGAAGTGATGCGGCCACACCGGAAATGATGTTTCACAGCTGGAGGTGGAGCGCCGCGCAGGCGCAGAAGAACAGGTAGGTGAAAGTTTCAGCCACAGTACTGGGAGAGGAGTGCAAACCCAATCAACGGTCCACTGGGACACACTGTGCCTGGAGCCACAAGAAGGGGGGGTGAGGTAGGGGATGTAACGGGCCAGTGCGCATGCGGGGCTAAGTACTCCCGTCGGGCACAGACAGCGGGACACACTGCGCATGCTCACCAGTGGCAGGGAGATCACTTAAGCCGAACATTCATCCGATCTCCCTGCCCCACACTGAGCATGCACCTACCCAGCCAGGACAGCCTCGTGCACGGAGACCACGCGTGCGCACTCAGGGGTATAGAGATCTGATGGCCATTTGTTCTTCTAAGAAATCTCTTAGCCCTGAGTGCGCATGCGCGGTGTCTGATCAACTGCATCCTGACATCAGGTCAGTCTCGCTCCCAACACTCTCAGCCAGCCGGGAGGAGGGGGGACTGTGCAGTATGGGGAAGGGGGGGGGACTGTGCTGTGTATTGGGGGCTGTGCGTTAGATGTGGGAGGCAGTGTATTAGGGTGCTGTGCGTTAGATGGGGAGGGGGGCTGTGCAGTATGTGGGGCCTGTGTGTTAGATGTGTACAGCCTTAGTTTGACTACAAAACATTTCAGAGATCTCAGAGGCCATGGCCTGCTTTTTGCTACGAAAGACCAGCCATCTAGTCACTCACCAGGGATGGATGAGAAACTGCACCCAGAGGGACTGCCCCACATATGCAACCAAATCCGTCTGTCACTGAATTCTGTAATCTCCGTGTCTTTGTGCATTGTGTATGTATAGTACTCCCAATTCTTATATGTAATACGGTGTGTCTCACAATCTTTGCGTCTGTCTGCTGTAAATATGTGGCACGCAAGTCTGCATGCACTGTGTCTGTTACGCCATTTTACTCTAACCATTATATTTTTGTGTGTGTCACAACTCTGACAAGCGTATTCTCCTATGGGGCACGAAGTACATAAGGAGGAATGAAGAAGCCCACATTTGAGGCTCGCATCCAGGGTGGATTATTGAAGTGACAAGTTTCTCCTGTTTGCACGGCGATTTCCGTGATCTGAAGTAGGTAACCTTAGGCAGTCCAGATGCTGTGAATTACATCTTTGCCAGCATCATGGGAGGTGTACTCCAAAACATCAGGAATACCGAATGCGTATGAATGAAAAGTATGGTGTGTGAATGGTCAGTAACAAGGGTTGAAGCCTTGACGTGGTGTTACTGCACACATGTATATTCATGTGCCAATTCAATCAATGTAATACTTTAAGGTAACCAAAAGTACTGTGATGGTGGGGAATGAAACGCCTGTATCCCCTACACACTGCGAGCGTATCCCCTAAACATAGAATGTGACGGCAGATAAGAACCATTCGGCTCATCTAGTCTGCCCAATTTTCTAAATACTTTCATTAGTCCCTAGCCTTATCTTATAGTTAAGATAGGCTTATGCCTATCCCACGCATGCTTAAACTCCTTTACTGTGTTAAACACTGCTTACACTTAACAGGTTATCGTTAATTCCAGACAAATTACTGTAGATTGAAAAATTAAGAGTTTTAATCTTTTAAAAAGTTGCAATATACAAAAGTCAAACAATATTTTATTTCCAATTTAACAAAAAAGTGAAAAAGTATGTTGTCCATTAATTACACATGTGGCCTAATATCAGATATTGTTATTGTCAACCCCCTCTTACTCTGTCACCCCCTCTCACTTTGTCACCTCACCACCCCCTCACCCACCACACTACGTCAACCCCCCCCTTACATCCCTCTCACCCCACTATGTCATCCACCCCATCACCCTCTCACTGTCATCCCCTCTCACCTCTCCTAGTCACCCCTCCTTCTACCTCACCACACTATGTCAGCCCCCTTACTCTGTCACCCACCCCTCTCACCTCTCCTAGTCACCCTCTCACTGTCATCCCTCCTTCCACCCTGTCACCTCAGCACCCCCTCTCACCCACCACACTACGTCACCCCCTATACTCTGTCACTGTCATCCCCTCATCACTCCCTCACACTGTCACCCCCCCTCTTACCCTGTCACTCACCCTGTCATCCCCCCTCACTGTCACATCTATTCTCACACAGGCACCACTCTCCGCACTCTGGCACCTCCCTCCATACACACTCGCCCTGCCACCCCCTGAAGGCAATCATGCACACCGTCATAAAACATAACTTCACCATAAACTTAGTGCCAAAGGCCACAGGCAGTACACAAACATACACATGCTCAGAGAAACATACATACAAGGATACTCACTGCCAGACACACTCAGGTAGACAATGCAACGATGTAAACAGAGACTAGCTCTCTGTATCCAGTGCTTGAAGCTCCCCGATGAACATATCTACAGCTTCTTATACACAAAGTCAACTGCTATTTTTTCCCCCCCAAATGATGGTGTTCGTGGTGGCCTCATGTATGAGTTTCGACTAAGGCCTTGCCAAGTCTAGAGCCGCCACTGTAGTACAGCCCTTCAGTAACCAATAGTCTCTTATGCAGGGACTCCTCAAATGGGTTTGCTCCTTCCCTCTGGAACTGTAAAAATAGTTACAACTCACCAAATCGTAACCAGAAAGCATATTACAATGTACTTATTTTATACTACAAACTACAATTTCAATGTTGAGGATTGGAGGCGTAGAATAGAAAGAATGGTAGAGCTTTTTCAATTTTGGATACAAGCATCTGTGATCCCTTTTAGTTTGTTAGAAACACCCCACAGTTTAAACATAGCGCAATCTGATGGTAAATGGCTGCCATTGTTAATACATAGAAATTTTAGAGGGCTCTCAGTAAAATTAAAATGGTCAGAAATTGGGCAGGGAACTTTTTTCTAAAATTCAATGTTGGTGAAGAAAGTTTTTCCCCAATTTTTGAAGCTCAGCTTTGGCTCTAACTTAATCATTTCCTGACATTTAGGAGTCTTCTGTATAACCTGCTATGTGGGGGGGAGAACAAACCATGTGTAGCTGCAATATTGACCAAGAGAAAAGTCAAATGAGAATCATTTGTCACTACCTTATGTAGCAGCAAAACGAGAAGAATAGACTTTAAAATACCGTACTGAGAGGTCACTGCTATATAAACATTAACAATATGGGGGAGTTAATAAGTAAACGGGGAATGGAAGAGATTAGACAATTGACTGCAAATTTTAGGCTAGAATAAAATAACTGTTCTGGACAATTTCTCATTTCATATATTTTTGGCCTACAATTTGCTAAATATGCATGTAGATATGATGATTACTAGGTCACCATTTATAGGCTGTTAAGCTGCCCATTTACTTAATTGTTCAACTGAAGCGAAACCTAGATCTAGAAGAATATGAGGAGTGCATAGAATGGGATGCTCTGCACTGCATTCATGTTCAACATAAGCAGTACTGAACATTAAGAGGTGTGACCTTGGCAGGACGTGGTGGGCAACGTTAAATTAGGGTGTGCCCCAGATCAGTCATGCCTAGGGCACCACAATTTCAAAAGACACCACTGTCCTCACCTTAGTGTATTATCGTTCTGTATTGTTTATGCTGGCGTATATTGATTGTCTTACGCTGCACCTAACCAAATAATTTAACAGGTTTTACATTATGGTAGAACATGTTAAAATGACATTGAATGTGTATTTTCACTTTAAATGTTTTTTGGGAGTGATTTAATAAACACATTTCTAGCAAGATTTGATCCATGAGGATTTACATATTTATTTGCCTGATAAAGCTTTCATGTAGTGTGTGATATAACGGACCTTTATACTGGAGTAGGGCAGAAGATATTTCCAGTCGTGCATCAGATACATCTTCTGCAGAGGTCTTCACTGCATGAATGGTTCTGGTCTGAAGAAACTCCTTTGCAAACTGTAATACATTATTATATTTGTAACAGCAATTCACATGTATGATTAATAGCTTTCACAATGGTACATGAATGTTTATCATCAAGATCAAAACTCCACAGCTGCTGGAATCCTCCTGGTTGCTGTGATGCATTACATGGATATTCCATTGGGCTACTTCTTCAGTAATATACTTCAAGAACATACTATGAAAAAATAAAAAGAAATTACACATAAGTTTTAATTGAAAGTTGTGCACATCAGTTTAAGTAAAAAAAAAAAAAAAAAAAATTCCCAAGACACTCACCTCCAGTTGTGCTGTACTTTCAATAGATAATTATGTTCATTTCCCAGTGGGTCAATTAGCACAATAACCTTCGACATGATGACAATCTAAAAGAATTCGGGAAAACACAAAATTTTCTTTATGACATTCATATTATTGGTGTATACAGCAGGTGTGTTCTGCGGGGTCATTGGGATGTAGTTAAATATCTGCATATGTAACATAATTACATAAATTATAAAAAGCACATGATAACACAACTAAAGAAAGGTTAATTAACGTAGTCCTATAGTAAATACCACTAAAATCCAGTGAGCTCTGAAGTTCACAGGGCATAGCCAGAGATCTTCACCAGGAATCCTCATCTGAAGAATACAGAGAAATCAAAAAACATTGTTTGTATTTTATATAACATAAAATTGCATAATGAGGCAACAATGTTATTTGCTGAACTCATTACTATATGCTTACCCAGATTCCCCTGCAGTAGTAATATCACTGCAAATTTAAGATTTCTGTGGGAAAAGCAAGTCTTATGGCTTGACAGGTGTGTTTAGATCTCTTAATGTGTGTATGAATAGCTGTTATTGAGACAAATAACTAACCTTTCCAAGTCTATCCAATTTTCCAGAAAATAATGCCGATGAAATTACTGCATCCAACTGGTAATTAGGTTCCTGTTTAAAAAGATTAAGAGTAATAATGTAGAACAACAACGCAACAAACATACAACACAAGCATTCACTAAGTCACACTTGCCTGATGCTTTCCAATCAGGTGATAAAGGTATGCATCAATCACCTGCATTACAGAGAAAGAAAAATAAACGATTTTTTTATTATAGATTTTTGCTTTTTATACATTTTCTACAGTGCTTACCTCATCAACCAGCCACGCTGTCCCATGCAGTGTTTGTTTAGTTTGAATTGTCCGACAACGGCTTCCACCAGGTCGTTATCTTCAGCACTCCACAGCCCTTTAAATAAAAAAAATAAATAAAAAACCCTTAAACCGCAGTTAAGTTATTGTACTATCGAGTATGCCTTATCTTCAAATTCTAAAGTATTGGTTCCAAATACAGCAGCCATTTTGCATGAGCTCTCATCATATATGCAAATATCCGTACATCAAAACCTATGTCCAAAAGCATTTGTGATAAAGGGGTCAACCTGTATAGGTTCTTTGGTAGAATATTAACTTGTAAGGCTAATAAAACAAGAACATAATGCCAAACAGCGGCAACTATAAACAAGGGCCAGAATGGCCACCTGAATGAAAAGGCCAGACTAACAGGGCATAGCCAATTAAATGACCAACAGGGTCTAAATAGAAAATGAAGACCTTTGCAAATGCTACCTCTGTCTTCCATGCTCTGCTGTAAATTCAAAGATGCAGAAGGCTTTAAAAAAAAAAAAAAAGTAAAGTTAAGCAACTACATAAAAAAAAATAAAAAAAATTGTACAAACAGAAAGAATATGCTGAGGATACAGAAGTACACTATATGCAATATATGTGTATGCAAGCTTTTCAGGTAGAGAGTTTGGTTGTACCTCCGTAGTGCTATCCTGTCTCTTCAGGGCAAGTTGAATCACCGACGTCCTTTCACTTTGCTGCCTGGGGCATGTTGCTTCTTTACTCCTTTTGTATGGCTTTATGTGGTTAATGTTAATCTTGTTCTTCAGGATAGCACAGTCATAATATGCCAACTAAACTAAATTGCCACACAGCTCCTTGATGACATAAGGGCCAAGGAAGTCATGTTGTAGAGGAGAACCTCATCGCCAACACGGTAGTGTAAATCCCTGTATTTTTTCTGCACTCTTGGCATACGCTACCTTCTGCTTTTCCTGCAACTTGGCAATGTTCTCCAGCGTTTCTTCTCGACTCCCTCGATGATTTCCTCTCCTCCATATAGGTTGCATAATTCATCTACCCCGGCAGAACGATATTTGAAAGCTGGAAACCAAATTGTTTAAATGGTAACAATACAGCATGAATGAATTTTTTTTAAGTAGAAATAAACAATACAAAATAAACACTTTCGTAGTACAGTTTAAGGAAAAATCAAATTGATAGAGATTAAAATGCTTACGGAAACAAGAATGTTTATTTGTATATGCACACTACCTTTAACCCCTTAAGGACCAAACTTCTGGAATAAAAGGGAATCATGACATGTCATGTGTCCTTAAGGGGTTAAAGACAGTAAAGCAAACCTTTACCATATTATAGTTTAACAAATAACATTCAAATGTAATGTGCCACATACGTTAAAAAAAAAAACGCAAGTAGTTGGAAGTAGGTGAGATCTGTATATAAAAAACAATTAGTCCATGAAATATAGTCAAATATTTCACGGAGGACGTGACAGACAGACATAAATGCCAGCTACCAGCAGATCAGGAACTTCAGTTGGGAAAACTGCCTCCGTCCCATACATCAGAACAAATAGAAAATTTGGTTGTGGTTTGGACCTTTGATCTGATGGTGATTCCAAATAATAGTCCCAGTTCTGCTTTTTATTTACCAATTTAGAGAGCTCTAGAATGAAAAAAAAGAAAAACATTAACACATTTACAAAACTCTACAAAGTAATGTGAAATTTATAGCTCTAATCACTAATAGAAACAAGCGGAAAGTAAGAACAACAACATTAGCTAAAGTGAAACCTTTGGAGCAAAGTTCTAATAAAACCCTGAATGAAAAGTTGAATGAAACTTACCTCTTAATAGTGTAATTTGTTTTCTCATCCAGCCCATTTGTCTTTCTATTCCTAGAACACTGCACATCCGATCGTTAAGCTTAAAATAAAAAAAAATTACACAGGTATATATAATTCTCATTTAAAAAAGTTAACTAAATCATTTGTACATGTATGGCACATGGAAAGTAAACACACTTGATTGACAAATTCTCTGCCCTGGTCAGAAAGGATCCTCTTTGGGCAACCATGTCGGTATATCAGGGAACAAAGATGACGTCCAACCTCGGCAGCAGTTTTTTACTTCAAATGAAAAGCCTCTACCCACTTGGAGAGGTAATCCATGGCTGTTAAAATGTACAGGAAACCATCCACTGTCTTTGGGAAAGGGACTGTCAGGTCAATCCCAACCAGCTCCCAGACAGCAAACACCTAATGCGATACAAAATTTTTATATTATATAATATATTTTTTTTATTTATAAGTAATAGACCAATGTAATAACTTATGTTATTATATACTAGACATTTACCTTAATACACTGTAACGGCTGGGAAGCTAACAGAGGCTTTCCAACCGTCTGACACTTTGCGCATTCCTGGATCTGTAAGAAGTCAGTTAATCTGTGCACAGCATTCATAAAAATTGCAAAACAAAATAATTAGTGTGTACCCATTCCATGCCAAAAGAATCATGAGGAGATTGCAAACTGCATCTTGACAATTCAAGAATGGCCTCCAATTGGTGCAGAATGAAATTCTTCAAATATCCTTCTTGCTTATTTGAATTTTAAGACTTTTTTTCTGCCGACTAAGACCTTTCCTTCTGTTAGAAAATGAAAAAAAATTCAAGAGCAACATTCAAAAGCACAAAAAAAAAAAAGTGCAATATAAAATTAAATCGTCTGTGTGACACCAAATATTAATAGTCCAAAGATAAAAATTTAGCTGCCAGACATAAAAAGGTTATTCCGCAAACCTATGTGATAGAATGTCCAAAAGTATTTAAATGTCAGCGCTGTGCAATAGCCCCAAATAAGTGTTTGTGGGGAAGCTGGGTATTGAGATAAATGTGTATGATTTCCACCTCCACAGCGGTGGTTTAGGAAATTAGGAGTATTGTGTGTAAGCTTTGTATCCAACAGCAGTGATCACAGTAACATATCTTCAAAGATACAAAGAAGGTGCACAGTTTATTAATATCATGTAAAAATTTAACTCCAAATCCTTTAAAAAAAAAAAACCCACACAACAACAACTCATACACAGTAAAAAAGGGATCCAAACAGAGTCCAGAATATGTAGCAGATAAGCAGTGTGTTGAAAGTATTACCACTCCGTTGGTGCAGTAGAAATCATGCATTTCGCCCGTACTCAGCAGGCTTTTTCAAGATGATCTTGAAAAAGCCTGCTGAGTACAGGCAGCACGGGTGGATGAGTTAGAAGCCTTTCATCTTATCTTTCCAGGCAGACACCTTTAGCAGTTAAGTGCTTTGTCATCCCTCCATTTGAACTTGCAGCATTTAGGCTAGATCTTGACATTTTCTGGATTTCTACTGCACCAACGGAGTGGTAATACTTTCAGCACACTGCTTATCTGCTACATATTCTGGACTCTGTTTGGATCCCTTGATGGAAAGTAGGATTTAACCCCTTTCTTTACTGTGTATGAGTTTTGTAACGGATTTGGAGTTTAATTTTTGCATTATATTAATAAACTGTTGCACTTTCTTTGCTTGTTTGTATCTTTGAAGATACATTACTGTGATCACTGCTGTTGGATACAAAGTTTACACAGCATACTCCTAAACCACCGCTGTGGAGGTGGAAATCATACACATTTATCTCAATACACAGCTTCCCCACAAACACTTATTTGGGGCTATTGCACAGCGCTGACATTTATATACTTTTGGACATTCTTCAAAAGCAACTAACATTGCTTATATTGAAGATACTCACTATTCAATGTATATTTGGCAGGGGCCTTTCTAAAGCATTGTCTCTGCGACTTATTCCCGGATGGGTATTCTCCTGCTGAGAGGAATTGGAAGATTTCATCATACTTCTCCATACCTAGAAATGTAGAATACCATTATCGGGTAAGCCATTACAATCTTTCACAGCCGCCATGTTATGCTATTTGGATTGGAACTCAACTGCAGCTTGTAAACTCCCTAATTACAATAGTGAAGAAATGGAGAAGCTTTATACTATCAATACTGTAGCTTTAAGTAAGGAGAGAATCATTGGTAACTTGATTCAACCAAAGTTTGAATAAGTGTTAAACTTAAATGAATTGCATTTAGGCAATAATCCAATAAGAAGAAGTGCAAGTAATCAACAACACAAATTTCATTATTAAGTATTTCCTCAGAGATGCATTAAGTAACATTCTTTAAGTTCATGAGAATAATCTTCAATAGAAACAATAAGCAAGTAGCTAAGAATATTTGCAAAGCAAGAAACAGTTCATAGTGAATAAACATGATGGGAGTTGTTTTGAGTAAGCAAGCATTAGTTCATTAATAAATTATATTGTAGACAAATAGCTGAAAGATATACTTAAGGTTAATATGTGTAGTCCTCCAATAGTTCCGAGATATGGTCCACTTGTAAAGTAGCAAAGTATCCGTTCTCCAGTAATCCTTTATGGCATGCAGCAATCCTTGCATTGGCTCAAAGGCTGGAACGGCTTGTCTGAGCTTGTGGAGAGGTAAGTCTGGTGGAAGTAGCTCCCAATAGCTGAGCCTGTGGAGCCCGCGGTCTCACGGAGGCAGCTCACACACAATCACCAAGCACCCTCTCTCTGGCCCAGTCTCCCTAAATACCATCAGAGCTGTGTCAGAGGGGGGCGGGGTCCGGCTCCTCACAGCCGAGTGCCGAACCCCAAAGTGTTACTCCATGACACGTCGTCATTAGCCATCTGCTCAGATGAATAAACAATCGCCAAATGTAGACAATATAAAAACTACCCTAATTACCATATTAGAACCATACCTAAAACTATCCCTTTCACACTGGAAAAGGAAAGATGCCCCACCACGCTGTGTAACGTCTGCTTACACTACACACTACATAGCAACAGATATTAACAGCAAAGCATATGAGGAGAAAACTGAAGTGTGATAAATGTCACAACACGATATAAGTATTACTCACCGGCGGGGAAGCTAATCGAGTCAGGGTCTTACCTGGGTTCGGAGTCTGTAGCACAGATATGTTGCTCACCCTTGCAGATAGCCACAAGCCAAGGTGGTCAGGTAAGAATTCACCCGGTCTGTGCAGGATGAAGTACCAAGTCGCAGGACAGGCAAGGACTCAAACAACAGGATCGTCAAGGGATAGCAGAGGCCAAAGGATGCCAGAGTAAACGTATTTAGAAGCCGGGGTCAATAATAAGTAGCAGATCAAACGACAGGAACACTGGTACAAAATACACAACAGGATCAAAGACTTGATCCTGATCACAGGGCGAGGCAGAGTTTAAATACCCTGCTAATGTCTGATCAGGGTCAGGTGAAGCACAGCCAAAATCAAGGTACAGTAATAGTGAATTTTTTGAGGGGACAATATAAGGTCAATATTGTGAGCTCTGATAAGTGTCTCATCACGATATGGGTATTACTCATGATCAGGGAGTCTATACAAAGCAAAGACTGCTATGCAACCAAGATCCTCTTAACATATACTGTAAACAGTACAGTGTGTTATATATAGCACAATATGATATAGTATAGAACCCACTGTTCTATAAATATATGACAAACAGCCTTATCGTCTCAGCTACAGAAGGTGTAGATGTTCATGGACTTTATTGTCCATGGGTTTCTTTGGCCTAAACTGCACAGCTAACCAATATCTAAGCACTATGTCCACCGGGTCTATCAGTGCAATATGTATCTCCTGCATTGCTGCTAGATACTATTCAAACTACCAACTTTGATTTGTATATCCACTGGCAATGAAGGATTTACCTACTGCACTGATAGCTCCGGTTCGTAAAGGATATTAGATCTATTTAGCACACTGGCAATTCTCTATAAGTAAGTACTCTATAGTAGAGAAAAAACAGCAATACAGCTGGATGCTACAAGAGACACAAGCTCCTTCTTGGTAAATCATGCACACACTTTATTCCTGTTTATAGACAGAATCAGTTGTGGAGTCAGCCGGTTTGCACAGATTTGTGCGAACTTGTCATTAAAGGGACACTCCAGGCACCCAGACCACTTCTGCCCATTGGAGTGGTCTGGGTGCCAACTACCATCACCCTTAACCCTGCAAGTGTAATTATTGCAGTTTTTATAATCTGCAATAATTACCTTGCAGGGTTAAGACCTCCTCTAGTGGCAATCGATCATACAGCCACTAGAGAGACTTTCAGGTTCCTAAAACCCCAACATTTTTTAAAATGACGCTGGACATCCTCACACTATGGATGAGGACCTCCAGCGTCACCAGAACCCCTATAGGAAAGCATTGAATACTGTTTTTCTATGAGCAGGTCTAATGCCGCACATGCACATTAGGTCTCCCCCGCCGGCTGGGTAGGAGCGTGGGCGGAGCCTGACCCAGCGTTGAGGGACATCGGCGCTGGATTCAGGTAAGTCACGGAAGAGGTTTTAACCTGATTTTCATCCGTATTGTTGATTTAACCCTGCAACTGTAAATATTGCATTTTTCATGAACTGCAATATTTATCTTGCAGGGTTAACTCCTCCT